TGTGCCCATTAGCAATATTGCGATGATTGCTATTAATATTCCTACTAGTACGACTACTAGCACTACTACTACTACTACTACTGCTGCTACTACTACTACTACTACTACTACACTACTACTACTGCTACTACTACTACTGCTGCTACTACTACTACTACTGCTACTACTACTACTACTACATCATCATCATCATCATCATCATGGCTATTTATGTTGTTATTATACTTCCAGTACCAGAGAGATCCGACATGGTTGCTTCCTTTAAGGGGTTAGAGGGCTCCTAGGATCCTTTAGAGCCCGTTTTCCCAAGAAATGCTGGGTTGCTGCTGAGGAGCTTCGTTGAAGTCATCATATTGGGGAAACCCAATTAGGGTTTAGGGAGTAGGGTTCAACCCAATTACTTACTACATATACCCATTCTGGTAACTTAACCTAAGATCCTCAACAGCGACCCAGAATGTTGACAAGGCTATCCACAGGCCACAGTCGAAAGCACCATGAAGCCGTACCAGGCAGGGGCGGCACCCTAAACCTCATATAACCCATTATAGTAGTTTGCGTGTTCTTTTCCATTATCCCCATATAACCCCAACATAACCCTAATATTACCCCAATGGGTACCTATATCCCCTATGGTATCGGGAAACCGGCTCCCATGTCGCAGGCTCTCCTGAATTTGCATGCTTGCTTAAGAAGGTTTTTGGGATTGTTCAACTTCTTGTTGCTTGTGTATGGCACCGCCTTTAGGGGTTTCCCAAAAATTAGGGGTACCTTTTTGGGGTGTTCTTATAAGAAAGATTAGAGTATTTTGGGGGTATTCTTCACCAGTGGTTCTAGGGAATGCCTAAACCCTAAACCCCTAAATCCTTAAACTTTAGGGGTTTAGGGTTTAGAGATTATGGTTTAGGGATTAGGGTTTAGGGTTCCTAATGCCCTGACAGCACTACAAGCCTGAAGCCGCCTACCCGCCTGGTGATCCGCTTGGATTCTGGACAGCGGACACATGCTTTGAGACAACTGCAGACAAGCAGGCGCAATGTGTAGCTGGAAAATTCTTCAGCAGCTTGGTTTGCAAGAGGATCTTTTCAAACTAGTTGAATATTATCATTATGATCACTATTACATTTTAACCTTTAGGCTTAAAGAGCGTAGAGAAGCTAGAGCTAGGAGCGCCTGAAGCCATGCAAGGATTGAAGTTTACGGAGGCCCTCTCCGCCAACAAGGCTCGCATAGTGCTTCACCAAGGCCGCCAAGGTCATGAGAAGGACTACATCCGAAACGGGAAGCTCCGTGTGTCGCAAAAAAGCGACTGCAGTGAGCCAACTAACCTACAAGACCTGTCGCGAGCAGAGGAAGCTTGGGAAGGCAAGCTAGAGAAGGTCCTATGTTTGGACATCGTGCTCGCCGCGGCGCAGCAAGAGTGGGTCTCCATCCGCGAGGTCGTGGTGCTGAACAGTGACAGCAATCCTGATACGACGAAACCTCAGCAAGAGGCACCTGCAAACTCTCCAGAAACTGGGTTGCTGTTAAGGAACTTAAACTAAGTTACCATAATTGGTATATATATAGTTAATATGGTTCCCCCAATATAGTAACTCAAATTAAGGCTCTTAACAGCAACCCAGGAAAAGACAGAAGTACAGTATGAGCTGCAACATGCTCTGTTGGCAAGCTTCGTTGGCTTCGCCGCTGGTAGCATTGCCTGGGTTCTGGTGTGGACTGGCAAGTGCGCATGCCGCGCTACTACCGAGGGTTCCGGGGTCTTAAGCTGCTGGGCGCTGAATTACATGATTGCCCTGGACATCCTTGTCTACTGCTGCTTGAAGCCGTCCCAGGAAACTGAAGACATCAAAGAGATGCAAGACGCCCTACAACACACCTCAAGGAAGCTTGCCGAGCGTTCCGAGTCTTTCAATCCTTGCGCATCTGGCAATTCGCACCAGGCAGAGACGTCCATCGATTGGCGGTCTCTGCGGTCTGGAATTCTCAGCATTGATTCGAGGAAACTTGTGCGCCTTGGTCCCGGTGGGGACCCTCGCGCAGAGAAGGCGCCTGCAAGGGCATTTCTGTCCATCGGGCTAATTCTTGACCCTATCAGCACGGAGCCGGAGTCTGCTGTCAGCGCGTTGACAAGACTGGTCGATGCCAGCGCAGGTGGGGCGATCATTGGTGTTCTGGTGGCTCATGTTTCGCAGCTTTCGCACGCGTCGCAGCTCAGTTCCCGGCGGCAGGAGATGATTCAGAAAGTGCAGCACATGCTCGAGGGTCTAAGCACCGAGAAGCATGCCCTCGTGCACTTGCTCGATCCTGCATTGGATCTTTACCCTGCTCATTCTGCACGCTCTGACAACATTGATTTGGCGCTGCTGATTAGTTTTTTACGACCATTGGCTGAGACCTTCATGTCCGTGGACTGGACATGCCCTGTGGTCCAGAAGTATCCGGATTTGATTCGAAGGTACACAAGCAACCTGGATTCCCGCGGCGTGCAGTGGATGAGCGTCCACTTCAGTAAGGCTGGTCACCGCAGAAAGCTCGTTCGATCCAATCTCCTGCACAGATGGATGGCAGCTTGCCTAATTTTTTGTTGGCGTCCAGATTCAGAAGCCTTTACCCTAAACCCTAAACCCTAAACCCTAAACAAACTCAGGAGATGCTTCTCATGTTTCCTGACGCTCCTGCAGACGCCTTGTACTGGGACTTTATAGACGTCGTTAGCAACCAATCCGTGCCTAAGTCCACTGCACTAGGCCGGGCCAGAGACTGAGTCTGTGCTGCTGCAGAGGAGAGAAGCCTGATAGTCCCTCTTAAGTAGATAGAATATGGGATATATCATATATATATATATGGGGACCTGACATATTTGCTATCAAATTAGGGGGACCATGGCTAGACTAGTGCCTGTCTGCAAAGCCAAATCACGACCACTGAATCGGAGAATCGTGTTGGAAAGAGAGCCAGCTGGTGGAAGGTAGCATGAAGAATGTGCGCGATGATGTCAAGATCCTGTACGCCAAAGACAAAGAGGCAACGTGTCGCCGCAGTCTTGTATGATGCCACATTAAAGGATAGAGTCTTTCTGCAGCACGGTGCTGCTTTCTGGCTGTGCCCTCCGCCAAGCCCACGTGCGCAAGCTGGTCTTGACAGCAGAGATGTAAAACAGCACACAATCAACAGCACAGAATGATTCAAATCCGAAGCGTCAGACCTGAATTACAAGCACTTCTTGCGTCCGCCCTTCGCAGTATGATTACTTACTGGGTCTTAGTAGTGAATAACCGTATATGTAGGGATTACATGGAGGATTGTAGTCCTTCATGCCCTACCAAGAACAAGTAATATGAGGCGATTCTGGAGCACCTCGGAGACGTGTCCTCCTTACAAGGAAAAGTGCAACGGGCGACCGAGGCACTGGATGTCTTCATAACTTAGGGGTTATTTAGGGAAAATGGAAAAGAAAATGGAAACTACTATAGGGTTTAGGGTTTGGGGCTTACCTTTGGTTAGCTGGCAAGGAAGGAATGGAAAAGAACATTGAAACTGCTATAGGGTTTAGGTTTTAGGGCTTGGGGTTTAGGATCTAGGGTTTTAGGGCTTAGAGGAAATGGAAAAGAGAATGGAAACTACTATAATGGGGTGTATAGGGACTACTATAAGGATCTATTCCTTCATTCCTAGCTAGCCAAAGATAAAGATAAAAGCACACGGGTTGAAGGTAGGTTATAGGCTTCTACTGGAGGTTTAAACGGAAAATGAAATGGACAGTACGATAACACTTAGGGGTATACAGGGATTTTATAGGCGCATTGTAGGATAGGACAGCTTGCAGCAAAAAACTCGAAAAGCATTGTGCGTGAGACTTGCAAGTTCAGCTGCATTCTGTTGAATTTGCGGAGCTGTTGGGTGAGTGGCATTGCATCATGCATGGTCAAACATGCATCAAACGAACATACTGGTAGAATATGTCCAGCCGCGCTGTCAAGGGATCTTGCACACAATTGCATGAGCGGCTAATCCACGCAGATGCCCACTTCCCAAAGCTGGATTGACTGCAAGTATTGCAGTTGCTTCCTCGCACGCAAGTTACGCAAGTTAGGTACGCAACGCGCAAGCCAAAATCAGTGGGTAAACTGTGCAGAGTGTAGTTTGCCATCGGCGCAGGCCTGGTTCAAGAATCATCCGCTCCTGGACTCTCTGTTTCTGGGCTGCTTTTCGCATCGCTTTCCCTGCTTTCTTGTATCATAGGCTTGCGGCTAGACGTAGAAATGAGAAAGAACTCAGAATTGGTGGAGTGGGTTCTTAGCAATCTGCAATTCTGAGGAGGTCATGTGGACTAGCTACGATGTTTTGAAGCCAGCTGAGGTTCGACAACCCGCCAGGGTCGCTTCGGACCAACATGGAGCCGCATGCCCGGTGATGTCACATCATTGGGTGGAAATACTTTGTATTGCATAATCAATGTCGGGAGGATGGGACAGCAGTGGGAAGCACGTTACAGCTAGAAGCTTCAATGTCGTCAGATGTGGATGCAGACAGACTGGCAGTTACAGATCAAATTCAGGCTGCATAGCTTGACATCTGCCAGGGGTCGTCGTGACCTACTTCAGTCTCTTTATGATGATTCCGAACCTCAGCAGAAGGCTGGCATTGGGACTTCAGAGTGGCCTTTGAGTAAGGCTGTGAGGACCCATCCCCTTTGAGTTTGGTGTAATCAGTTCTGCAAGTAAGTGCTATCAGGTCCCATCTTATTTGTTGCACCTGCTGCTCCAGACGCAGGATCCAAGGATGATCACACTCTGACTTTGCAGGTCACCTGTGGTGGACATGAAGCAAAAGCTTGCCGTGAATGCCCCAAAGGCATGCTGCTCACTGGCAAACTGTGCGATGTTTAAGAAAACCTCCACATAAGGTGTGACTATAATAGTTTCCATTTTCTTTTCCATTACTCCCTATACATAACCGCCAATATACTAGACATTATATTGGGTTTGTATAGGGGTAGTGGAAAAGAAAATGGAAACCACTGTGCATTGGGGTTATACTGTAAAGGATTAATGGAAAAGAACATTGAGACTTCTATAGGTACACTTAATTTGGAGGTGTTCTCAGACAGGGGCCGCAATGTAGCCCCCAATAAACAGAAGTACTTAGTGCAGGGACCCCAAAACAGGGACCGCCCGTTCATGGAAGCTCACATGTAGCAAGTAATTGGTAGTTTCCCAAAATAAGGGGACCCCGATATGTACCCATATATATATATATACACACACTATAGTCCTTATTATAGGGAGCCCCAAAGAGGTAGCCCTAATTTAGGGAAACTTCCAATTAAACAAAATGCTCACATGGAATGCTGCAGGGCATGGTGCGAGCTGGTGTAACGTTGATTGCGGCTGGGCGCCGCTGGCAGAACTTGTTTCAGCATGCATGGCTATGTGGGGGTTTCCCAAAATTAGGGGTACCATTTTGGGGTCCCCATAATAAGGACTGTAGTATTTTGGGGTCTAAATTGGGGTCCCCCTATTTAGGGAAACTACCATGTCTGTGTGAGTCGCCCTATCAGTGGTTCGTCCATGTGCCCCTGTGTGACAAGATCCAGCTGCGCATTTCAGATTCGATCTTCTTTTGTGCAGTTCTGGGGGGCCCACCAGGCGAACGGTGGCTGCAAAGGAGTTTTCAAAACCCCAGATGTCACTTCGCCTGCGGTGGAGGCAGGCATGCGCACGGCACTCATTTTTGTGGAGACGTGTCGTGATTTCATGAGAACAGCGCAACGCCACTTTGCACTTTGGGCAGGGCTCTTGGGTGGAGTTGACTTTCCAGGAGTCCCAGGATGCTCTCACCTTAGCTACAGCACAGCAACCCTGAACTTCCAGCTGTGTCGCCTGTTCTGCTTGCTGCTGTTGCCGGCCTCGGCATGAGGAGCATAGCCCGAAGTCCGTGTGCTAGTCCGCAGCACCTACGCTCGTTAGGTGGAGGCTGTACACGTGCGCATGGGCGGCTATGTCCGCGCCTGAGCAACCCTTGCTCATGCTGTGGCCGAGAGTATGGTCTGAAAGAGCGTTGTTCTTGTCATTGGTCTAGTATCGCAAAGGGTGCTGACTGGGGATTGACGGGTTCGTGGATATGGCACGTGACTCTGACAGTTATGATTATGGTGGCATAGCGCTACCCTGCTACAACAGTAGTCGTCGAGTTTGGTATCAGTGCCGCCGTTCTCAATGCACAGATGCCAGTCTCCCATGTAGCAGCCCGCCCTTTGGGGAAGCTTGCCGCAAAAAAGTTGGGAGTCGATTGTGGTTGGCTTTTGTTGAAAACTTGCTTCTTGCTCTGTATCCTTGTAGCACACCCCTACTGTGTGCCTTGACGCTGCTGCAAACGTGTGCGTGCAAGTCTCACAGCAACACCCTGGATGCAACTGGATTGCCGACAGGCCATATCAGCTACTGCTCGGTAGTTTTGCTCTAATAACTAGACTGGTAAATTTGGTATAGTAGAGTCGCCCTTTCTCAGGTTAAGCCACCCTGCGACAAGTGCAACAAGGGGGTGTGAACCTCGGGCAAGTTTTGAGCAGTGAGTCGTGCAGGATCCATACATGGCAACACTGCTCAGCTTTGGCAACTGCAAGTGTGTGGGATCTTGCGGCGCATTCGCAGCTTACTGCATGGCTGACCGCCACAGGCAGAGGTTCCAGATGACGACTTCGACCATGCTTTGGATGATGCAGAAATGCCACAATCTCGGTGCACGTGGACGCGGAAGATACGGAAGAGCGCTGCAAGACTCTTCAGCATGCCTGAGATTGCCTGAGGCTGTTCGGGCACGGTTGGGGTGGCAGTGCCGCCGACGGCTGAGAGGTTGCAAGCTGGCTGCGGCAGACAACAGATTGCATGTTATGATGTTCAAGCCTTGCACCAGATGATTGTTCCATATTGCTCTCTAGTTTTCAGGCTTTCTTTGCTGGCGTACGTGAATCAGCTGCTGCCAAGGACACGCCGTCCTGTAGAAGATACACCAGGATTACGGATCTTGCTGGACGGGAGGCCTGCCGTACAAAAGAGGAGAATTTAAACCCCCGGGCCCCAGTATACTATAGTGGTTTCCATGTCCTTGTCCATCATCCCTATATAGCCCCAATCTCTTGTAGCGGTTTCCATTTTTTCTTTTCCATTATCCCTACACAAAACTAAGAGATCAAGCTAGAGTTGCAGGCATTTACCGCCAGACCTGCATGGGGTAATCAGGGCGCCGCAGTGATGCCTTCATCAAGTCGTTTCTTGTACTTGTAGTAAGCATGAGATGCCTCAAGGGGTGCGGGGTGCCTGTCTTATTAGTGTATTTCCGATCATCTCGTGACTAGTGACTAGTGTCTCTCGGCATTTTCCGAAGAAATGTGACCATCAGATTCCACCACCCAATCGGAACCCTGACGAAAATGGTGGCCTGCCAGTGCACACAATTCGACTCGAGCAGCCAGAGGTTGCCTGTGATGGCACGCTTGTTTCTGGGATTCGAAGCGCAAGCGCGATCGTTTCATGTTGTGCGCGAAGGTCTTCTGGCGGAGCAAGTTTAGCGAGCCGGTCAGAGATGCAAGGACCCCGGTCATCGGCAGTAAGCGCAGCTGAAGGCCTAGATTCTTGGGTTCTTGGGGCTGACACTGATTGACTACCTGCAGTGAGGCCAAGCATGCAGTGATAGCTTCGCACCATGGCCACATGAATGGCAGCGGAACAACAAAAAAGCAGGGTTCGCACAGATTCGAAATCAGGAAGCGGCGGAAAGGTGGGTGACTCTGAAATGTTGCTGAGGTGCGGTGCGTCCGCATTGAAGTCTCTCGCGCAGGGCTCCCAGACACCGAAGATAGGAAGGGGAGGCCAGTCTTGGAAGCACTGCTGCATTGGGCACTGAGGATGCTCCAGGATCCTAGCATTGTGTGTGAGAGAGAGAGAGAGAGAGATTCGCGTTATTATGTCTAATTACGGTTCAGGACCTGCCAGTCTTCCTCAGCAGAGATGGACCCAGGTAGAGCTTTCTCCATCGGTTGTGCTCACATATGCTGGCTGGCGTTTCTGAGGCACAGCAGCATCCCTTGGTGTTGCGGAGTCTTCAGGTGCGGACCACCAAGGCACTTCCCCTAAGGGTTTTTTCTTCTTGGACACATTCGAAGATCTCCTTGTCTTCATTCGAACAGGAACGGTAATTTGGACTTTAAAGCCAAGATACTACAGTGGTTTCCATCTTCTTTTCCATTGTACTCATATTAACCAAGTATACTATGGTGGTTGGCATGCTAAGTAAGGTTACCATTGGTCGAGGGGCTCCCCGGCGAGGGCTGCACGGAAGTGCCTGGACTTGGACTTCCGCTTGTCACAGCTTCTTCTAGAACATGTGAGGAAGCTTTCTGAAGTTGCCTGATTTTGTCAAAAGCTTCTTAGCTTGAGGTAAGGTGAGCGCGGGACGGGGGGGAACGGCGGGGGTTTTAAGCACGTTTCTGAACAGTAGGCATTAGATCCAAACACCTCCGGCCGTGCCAGATTGCAGAAGCTGTGATGCTTTTGGTGCAAGGATCTATGTGTTGTATGAGGGCTCCATGTGAACACCAGAACTTTGACAATGCGACGGTTGGGCTGTGTCTTTTTAAACTTGAATCGTCTAGTTGAAGTGGAATGCCCGTCCTGAAAGTATCGGTCGTAGAAGGCCAGGCCGGTCCACGTTTCTTGCACTACAAAATTTTCAGCCATGGCGTTTACAATGTAGCATGCACCGGAAAGACGCTTTGCTGCAAGCATTGCAAGAGGTTCTTGCAAAAGGTGCACTGACGGCTCAATTTGAGCTGCCCTGTCAAGAGTTGAAAACTTCTAGGCCTTGTGCTCAATTTACAGGCGCTATTGCTGATTCTGTCCTGCTCCTGCTCCTCCTGCTGCTCCTGCTGCTGCCAAGCTGCTGCTACTGCGACTAGTGCACTGTTTCTGCTGTGGCTGCTGCTGCTGCTGCTGGCGCCGCTGCTCCCGATGATGACGATGACGACGCGGGCGGCGACGACGACAACAGATGACCACTGCACCAACAACACAGCAATTCACACTGACTTGCAGCTTTGGGATAAATGTTTGGTCACTGCAGGCCAAGCAAGGGAAGGCAGCTGCTAAAATTGTCCGGAGCCTACAGGGTGTAGGAGTGCAAAGCTCTAAGCGTGTTGTGCAGCTGCGCCCTAATCATGCAGGTCTTGCTTCTTAATAGAGCTCAGCCTTTCCGTCTCTTACAAGAGAGCTTAGGCTTCATAAGCCCTGAACTCATCTAAGAGAAAAGCTACAAGGAACAGAGGGCGCCTGGATGTAGTGAGGGGCTCACCAGACGTCCCTATATAACCCCAATATACCATAGTTTCCATTTTGTTTTCCATTATCCCAATATAACCCCAATATACCATAGTAGTTTCCATTTCCTTTTCCATTATCCCAATATAATCCCAATATACCATAGTAGTTTCCATTTTCTTTTCGATTATACCTATATAATCCCATGAAGCAATACTATAAACACCCATATTCACCAAGCTTCCATTTCATTTTCCATGTTCTTTTCCATTTGATTCTCCATTATTGTGGGTAATATACCCCTAATTTTGGGAAACCCCCAAACCCTAAAACCTATATGACCCCTATATAACCCTTATATAACCCTAGATAACCCCTAATTTTGGGAAACCCCCATATACACCCTAAACCCTAAACCCTAATTTTGGGAAACCCCCATATACTGAATTAGATAAGACATGCATGGCAGCCACGTGAGACTTGGAGCACCCAGCATCCTGGGCTCCAAACCGGGAACCCAAAAAGGTACTACGGTGGATACTAAAAATCCTGCATGACCCTAAGTACCTTATACCTTGGGAATTATGGGACTATAGTAAACTAAGGTCATGCAGGATTTTTCGTATCAACAGTATACTTCGCCCCACATCTATGTCCTTTAGGGCTTTAGGGTTTTAGGG